CACAACCGAGGGATACATATTCATAGTTCCTCCTTCCCCACTGATCAGTATACGCAAGGTCGGGATCCTTACCAATCTCCTCCACAACCCAATTTGGTAAAGGTATGCTGCAGTTTAAAATAGTTAATGGTTAAGAGAAAGTTCAATAGTATACAAATAAATAGGCGAAAATTGCTCATTCATTCGTTTTATTGCATCCAACTTTAAATGCAACTAATGACCAACACATGATGTTGGTTAGCTCTACTCCCCCATAAGACAGGGATGGAAACAGGGCCCTCGGCAAATTCCCTAAAGAACACATCACTCACAACTTTGTATGTATAATATTATATATTTTTTTTAATACACCCAATAATAATATGTTATATAAAATAAGAAAATTTTTTTAAATTTTTTCAAAAAACTAATTTTCATATAATTTTTTATTTTTTTATATAACTTAAATAATTAATTCTTTTAATCCATTTTTATTAGGAGATAACAGTATCCTGTCCATAGCCCATGAAGCAAGCCAATTTCGAAAGAAGCAACTTTGCGCTTAAAAGCAACAGAAACCAAAACGTAAAGCTTTGAGCTTTTGACCCTCTCTCTTAAGTCCAACTAGTAAAATTTTAAGGTTCGTAATTAAGCGCTAATTAATACTGGTAAAATAATTGTGAAAGAAATAATTAATTGACGCGAGGAAGAAGATACTCACTTGCAAGAGTCGCCGACGTTGCCGCCGCATTGATGGAACGACATGACTGCCTGGACCTTGAGACCAAGCTTCTTGGCCATCTCAAGCAGCTCGGCGTAGCCACCCCAATTATAGACGCCTGGCGAATCTCTCTCCACCAGTCCCCACCACACGTCCATCATCACCCCCTCCACCCCCGCACTCTTCAACGCCTGCAAGCTCGCATTCATCGCCTTCCTCCTGTTCACCGTGTTGTTCGTCGTCACGCTGTCCAGCGGCATCATCACGTACACCGGCACTCCCCCATTACCCTGCTGCTCCTTCCTCCCTCCTGCCACATAAGCTCTCTCGCGACCAGTGGCCATTTCCTCTTCTGTCACCACCGCAGCCTGCGCGTCCAACGTAAACGCGCGGCACACCACGGAGTGATCAGGCCACATCGCGCTCAATACTGGCGACCTGCTGAGTGGGCTCACCGGCGGAGATAACTTAGGTAGAGAAACGATGTCCGTGGCGGCGTTCTTGTACCTGAAACTCACCGCCGATGCCTTCACCGTCGCAACCATTGGTTCCGCGCTTGACTCCAACGCGATTGGAGTCCCCACAAGGGTCCCGATCTGGTGAGCCATATTCAACGCCATGAATGGATTAATTAATTTCTCAAACTTTTCTTTTTCTCGAGAAAATGGCGGAAATTCTGTAAGTAGGAAAAAGAAAACGGAAATTTCAAAATGAAACGTTTCTTTTTTGCGGTCGGAGTTTCTGATTTTGAAACGTGAGCGAGGGATTCCCGGATGTGGTGAGAGCTTATATCACACAGAAAACTCAGCTTAACGGATAAGAATAATTTAATCCCCGAATCACCGTAATCTCAGCTCCACGTGTTTGGGTTTCCACGTATGAAACCCAAACACGCTTTGAAAATCCAAACATAAGCCTTCAAACTATATTACCATTGGAAATTGAGTCCTTATTGAATGTTTTAGGCAAATCAGCCCCTCCATACTAAGCTTATAGGGTTTTGCTCAAAATTTGACAATGAAGAAATTTACCTTATAATGAATTCGATATTATTGATTGTCAAGAGTAACTTCTCAACTTGTAAAAAATCATGGCTTGCTTATAGAAATTTACATTTTATGTACTTAATATGCGTATTAAATTTTTATATAATAAATTTATTATATTGGTACTAATATTTTTTGTGATGTTTTTACATAGGAAAAATTCGACTTAAAAAAAATGTTCTTATCACCTCTTTAGAATAGGGCAAATTGCACATGTACAAATGGGTTTAGGTGGACTTGCGAATTAAGAAGTAAGGATTGAATTGCCCAAAAAAGACTATTGGAGCTGAATTGCTGTTAATAAAGAAGATGGAGGACTTCCCATCAGGCTTTAGTTATGGGGAGTTAAAAGTAATGGCTGGATGACCTGGCGACACGTGTATGAAAACAGCTGGTCACGTGTCCTACCCTTTAAATTTAAGACATGTTGGGTATTTTGTCTCTGTATTTTGTCTTTTTGTTCTCTAAGGCTGCCTTGACGTCCACGTAAGGAAAACCATAATAATTTAACCATTTTAATGAAAATGACA